GTCAAGGGCAAGTGAATTTATCGTCTCCGTAAATGGATGAATGGAGATTATGGTGATATCTAGAATCGATGGGTTAGCTAAGAGAGGCTTTATTAGTGTTAAAGCCAGGGATTGGAAATAACTATGCCAAATTAGGGGAGAAGGACCCTTCCCTAATTATTATCGTAAATAAATATTTTGAAAATACTTTTAAAAAGTTTTAAATTTTTTAAAAAATCTCATTCCTTATACAGAATTGAAACTATGGGATAAGTTTGCATAAAAATTTATGCAAGAGTATTAAATTTCCTGGATCAAACTTGAATTAGTAGTTTGAAGTTATCGTAAATTGACCCAACTAACGTAACGTAGAAAATTGAGGTCTTACAAAATAAAATATTATTAATTGAATATAATAAAATCTGAGTTGTCTAAATCTCATTTTAGATAGCGCGAATGAAATGTATATACATATTCATCTATTATATTATCCTGATTAATTATATTATGCTCTGTTTATGCGATTCTTGACCACTCTGGAACCAAGGTTGTCAAACTCATGAGTTTAAGTAAACTCGTGATAGGTATGTAAACTCGAATCGTAAAGTCGGATTATAAACTCATAAGAATTTATCTCTATTAATAAATAACTATTAAAAATAAATAATTAAATAATTTAAACATAAAAATGACAAAATTTTGGTTAAAATATAATTTAAACCGACATAATTAAAATTAAACCCGTCAACATTCATGGTTTATCTTACTCAATATAGATATTTTTATGAAATTCATACATGAAGCCACTATACATAATCAAATAACAAAATATTTATAAATTTAATAAAAATTATAATTTAGATCACTGATTTGGATTTTCAATATTTTAAAGGTATTTACAATTAAATAATTTAATTGTCTTTTACGCATGCTTTGATATAAATATTTCAATTTTTATATAAATATTTTGCGTAACTTTAACAAAAACGATTTTATCGTTGCATATTAAAAAAATTTTAGTTTGGAATATTATTCCATAGATTTTTTTTTAATATTCAAGTATTTGTTATCACCCACTGAGCGGCATAGGAGAGAACTTCAAAATTCGGTTGCTTTCGGTGAGTTTTGTTGTTAGTTTCAAACTCGCATATAAATCACCGAGTTATTACGATTTCACCGAGTTTAAACGACTAACAAGCCATTTTTTACGAGTTTCCAATAAATGCGATTTTATATGCGTCTTAACACATTTTCTTGAGCTGAAAACGTGAAATCGGCGAGTTTAACGTGTTGAAACGCGAGTTTGATTACCGTGTCTGGAACTCACTATATCACCAATTTTTTTATATTTTATTGTTGTGAAATTTAAATTGCACAATTTAAATTATTTGCATTGAATTTTTAGTTTAGGCTTGGGAATCTGGATCAAGTGATTGAAAAAGTTTTGTACATATTTATGTTGTTGTTGGATTTTCCATGTTGAATGAATATCCATTTTAAAAATGAGCAGAGAATGCTCATCTCTCATTTAGATTATCTTGATAACTTTGAATGATCATTTTTAAAGTAATATTTTGTAGCTAATCCCACACCATAAAGTATTGTTTTCAATGCATTCAGTAACCAAAAAATTAATTAAAAAATATTTTACAGTGTATGATCCACATTCATTTAACAAATTTTTGAGGAGTTAATAACGAAATTAAAATTGCTCGTGAAAAATACTATTAGAGCACAATTGTTCTTGAAAAAATTAATACTTTTAGGGCTAAATTATACTATAAAATATTTTAAGGTACTGAATGAACCATAAAATATTTTAAGAGATTGGATGCATCTAGAAAAATACTTCATAGCGCATCCTAACCCTTAACCCAATAATCAAACACTAAGTTAAATTAAGGATTAAGATGAAAATTTATCCCAAAAGTGTTCTCTCAGGAGTGCTGGGCACCTAGAAATTTATTTGGGTGCAAATTTTTCTTGGATATTTAAAATCATAACAATATTGCTCTATAGTGTTAAAAAACTAATAATGACCGTTAAAATAGTAACATTGACTTTTAATATTTTAAATGGTAGGAAGCAATATTGCTATAAGTTTAAATTTTTGAGGTAAATTTGTATCCAAAAGAAAATTTCAAGTATTCAACATTCATAAGTAAAAATTTTTGAACAAATTTACACCTTAGCCCTTAAATTAAGAAATCTTATATAATTTGAAATGATTCCAAAATTTAATGGAGTTTTTTTTTTTGTTGCCAAAACTGAAAGAATTAATCTGTCTGCATGTTCATAGATATTTTTGCACATCTAAAAATCATATAATGTTGGACGCATTTTGTCTAAAAGTTTATGAGTATTTTTGTACTTTTATCCTCTCTTTTCTTTTTTTTTTTGAGTTAGGGGTATTTTGATACTTTCATGATTTTAGCATAAAGTCCACCACAAAAAGTAAAGGCCGTTACATAAATTTAATAGTTATGTCATTTCGCTTTAATTTTGCAAGTTTGTAAGTCTTTATGACCTTTGTATAATTTTTAAAATATGCAATTTTGACTAAATATAACTTAATTAGTCAAAATAGGCTTTTTATTCCAATAAATTCTTTTTGGGGTGTTTTTACCTTTAATACCTCTTTTATAGCCTAAAAATACCTTAAAAACCTTTTCCCCTATTTTTCTTGAATTTGTGAAACTTTTTTCTGAATTTTCAGGCATATATTTCATAATTATCCCTTTTAGGCTGAAAATTTTTTAAATTATGCTTTCATCCCAACTTGACTTTTCTCTCATACTTTCACTCACTTTGAACTCTAGCATCTCATTTAGCCCATATAAAAATGCCCTAACTTTTCATGTTTAATCGGTATTTTAGATGTCGGATATGACAGAAGCTAAGTTTAGAACATTCGCCAGAATCTGAACAATTGGGAAACCAAAAAAATTGCAACAACCTCCCAAAAACCAGAGGACAAAACAAAAACACCCACATACGCTGAAAAGAACATGGAGGAAAGGTTAAAACTCACTACCTTCACAAGCTTAAGAAGATGGCCAAAGAAAAAGAGAAACCATTAGAAGATGGTGAATAGAAGGAGGAGGAGGCAATCACAGAGCTATGGTTCAAGCAATTACTTTTAACTTGGCGGTTTTTGTTGGAATATTTTTAAAATGAAGAGATGTGTTTTTTAGAAAAGTCATGTCCTTATATAAATTTATTAGATTAATAAATTTATATGAGGGGTTATGTCTTCATATAAATTAATAAATTTATTTGAAGGGTTGTGTCTTTATATAAATTAATATATTTATATGAAGGGTTATGTAGGAAGTTAAAATATTAAATGAACCTACATACTAAATACATTGTATTTAACAAAAGGTCATGTAGGAAGTTAAAACATTAAATGAACCTACATACTAAATTCATTGTATTTATTTAAATTATGTTGGTTCATGAACCAACATATGGTTGTGACTTTTTATTTAGTAAGTTTTTATTCTAAAAGGTATCTCTTCAAGGCATCATTTCATGCTCTATATAAACCCTTCACCATCACTTCATTTGGTGATATACAACACAATCACTAAGATCAAACTCATTGCCTTTGTCTTTGAGTGCACACAGAGATAGAGTCAAATTATCACTTTGTAAAAACCATTGTTGTCTTTGCTTGAATTTTGGAAGTGCAATCCATATTCAAGGGTCTTCATTGTATCCTAAAGGAAATTCACCGGTCAACCCAACTTGCACCCTAAAAGATAGGAATAGGTGGGGGCAAATTAAGTCTAAAGGAAAGTGCTATCCACGCCTTGAAGATATAGTGCACCACTTTCTTCATATCTTCTTCTTGTACTCTTCAAAGAACCATTCCTGCCAATAGTTTTCAAGCGAAAGCGTCAATAATGGTTAAAAGAGACAACCATCAAGTACATACAGATTTATTTTAAAATAAGAAATATTTAATATAATTTGACGGTTTTATGATTAGATCTCAAGCTTATTAAAAACAATTATTTAATGGGTAAAAACCGTCAAATGATTGCTTTCCTATCCTCTGCCAAACCTTATTCCGCCGTATAAGTGAAGATTATTGTGATGAACTACACTACTTCTAGTCTTAAATATAAGAGTTAGTAAGATATTTAATTTGTATTTTAAATATAAGACCTCAATTCACATTGTTTTTTATATTTACTTCTTTTTTTTGCCAAATAGTCCTCATTGTGATTGCACATATTAAATGATTTTTATTATAACATACAGATTAATAAGGGTATTTTGACAAAAAAACAACACTCATTTATTATAAATAACTAACTAAACTAATGTTTTTAATATTTACAAATTAGTTATTTAACTCTTATGTTAAGGACCAGAGGTAGTGTTATCTTTTATTTCTGTGCCCACCCCCCGTATTTAGCCATTCTTTGTCTAGGATTTCCTAGCTAGTACTGGTTTCTAAGTATCGTGTTTCGTTTTTTCCAATATGAAGGTTTCATAAATTTTTATTTAAACCCAATTGGGGGTTAAATCATTTGGAAATTTTAGAATATTAGGAGATTCTATTTGTCGTAAGAGATAGGCATTAGGATAACTCTAGTGTGTCAGCACACAGACACACACACACACACCCACCCATGCATTTTGCCTATTACGCTGCAATTTTTTTTTTTACTACTAAATTGTGTGATAATATTTTATTTAATTGATATTAAGCTTTCTGAGAAACTTACTTTCTAGGCAGTCCAGTATGGTATGTTGGCAACACTCAGGAAATAAAAAAGTAATTAGTTAAAAAGAAGTCGCTTAATTATTTCATATAGCACCAAATCACTTAAAATAAGATAATCTGCCAAGATGTAACAGAGAAAACGACATCATCATTTATGCAGAACACATAATTACAGATAACATTACAAAAGCTGATTTATTTAGAGAGCAACATTAGGCAGAGCTCATTAACCAGTATCAGCTACATTAACATATTAAACACCAACATCTGCATCATTAATCACTCAACGGACTACCTTCCGGATATGAGGCACAAAGGCGGATGGCGGAGGAGGGGATGGCGTGGGGGATGGCGTTGGTGGCGGTGGCGTTACTGGTTCGAACACAACGTTGAACTTTTCATAGACCCCATCAGGACAAAACACCATACGGTAGAAGTCTTTATTATGTTCGTAATGTTTGATCATCAGAGGATAATCATCTTTTCCTCCAAATTTGAAGTTAATATAATACTCATGGGCCGAATCATCAGATTTGGCAATTTCGAACCAACCTGGCATGGTTACAATATCTTCGGTTGGACCAATCACCACCGGGTACTGTTTGCCGCCGGGGATCGAAACATTCCAGTTGCCTGGTTCAGCACAGTGAGAAACCTCAGCAAATTCGAAATCTGTCTTTTCTTCCAACTTGATAGTGTCATCATCCGCATGTAAAATCAAACTCTTATGATCAGAGCCGATGATCACCGTGGTGGCACAGGTATCATGCCCAACTTGATCGACTTCAATTCCACGGGATTTGTTTTTGGCATCCAGAATGTGGTATTGCTCACCAGGCACCACAGCGTTGCCGTAGGTGTCAACCACAACTTCTGCAGCTAGGGTTAGGTGTTGAGTGGAGAAGGCAAAGAGGAGGAGGAGGAGGAGAAGAAACAGAGCAGAGAATGCAGTCTCCATTGTTGTAATAAAGAATGCAATATGATAGGAAAGTGATGAGAGGGTGTGTTATGGAAGAGAGTGAAATATGATAGAAAAGTGAGAGGGTGTGTTGTGGAAATGGTAGCTTGCATGGCTTCTATTTATAGAGTTTAGAAGGCAAAGGTGAGGGACTAGTTTGGTTGCTCGTCACTTTGACGAGCACTCTAAATTCATCAGATATAAACCGTCCAAATCTGAGTTGAACCATCCAGATTTAATTTATTTAAAAATAATTATTTTAATAGATATAGAATCTAAAATAAAGACAATCTTTTAACTATCACTATTTTTAAAAATAATTTTTTATTTAAAAATAATTGATTAAAAATTTTAACTTTGGACTGTTCAAATCAGATCTGAATGATCCAAATCTAATTAGCACCCAAACTGGTTGCCATCTCACTGCTTATAGGCCACCACCACAGCAATTTGCTAAGTTACAAGGGAAATTAGCAAGTTCTGAGTAAATGACTAGGATAAAGGAGGGTTTTTAAATGGGCTAAAAGTAAAGACCGGTTGTACAACTGATCTTTAAAAAAAAAAAAAAAAGGGACCGGTTTCTTAATAACTAATCTGGAAAACAAAATAAAAAATATTTTCAGAATAATAACGATGTGTGAATTCTTTTTTTAAAAAATACGAATTTTATAAAATTGTAACAAACAATCCAACCCAAAAAAATAGCACTAACAAATAATGCAGACTTGAAAATCGCAACAAAAAGTCCAACAATAAGGAATAGCAATAACAAATATCATAAAATGTATTTTTCTCAGGTTGGATCGACAACAAACAAACGCAAAGATCGAGTTATATATAAGCCAGAGAAATTTAAAGATTAAGCCATACTTCGAACTGAAATATCATATGGCGTTTAGGCTATCAAACGCTCAGTCTAAAAATTTATTAAATATTATTTTTAAAATTAGTTATACTATTTTTTAGACTAATTGTATAAGTATCCGATCTAAAAAAGTATATTTTACACCTTATGTCTAAAGAACCAATCTAAAAAGTTCGCCAATATTTAAAATATGTACTAGTGAATGATTTTGTAACAAGGACTAGACTAATTCAAGAATTTAGATCTTATAAAAGGGACTAGAGAAACTATAGATCGAAATATTCAGAGCAAGGGAAAAAATAATTAATAAGATGTACTTAAGGAATTGATAATAACAATAATAATAATCCTAGATACCGGTAGTTGTTGAATAATTTTAATTTAGTTTTCTGTATTTTTTTATTTTTATTGAATTTAATTCATACATGCATGATGTTAATTGTCATAATCTTGCAATCTACAGAGTTGCCTAGTTTAGCTACTTTGCTTTTTAGTTGGCACAAAAAAAAAATAGTAGTACTTTGCTTTTTAATACTTCTTGAAATTTAACTTTTCAGAATAATGTACTAATTTTTAATCTTTACGAGATAAACATCTTTACTTTAGGTTTAATTATGAAATGTGCTTTCTTAGATTGATACAAGACACTTAAAGCCAAAAAAAAAAAAACAAAACACTTGAGAAGTACAGGTTAATTTTGATTCTATATAATTTTCTTAAATTATTTGAGTTCCGTGAGAAGTTAGCTTTACCTCGAAAGTCCTGATCCATCAAGTTCTAAATATAGAAGTTAATTAGAGGATTTATTTTGATTTTAGAGAAAAGGACCTGTACCATTAACGGAGCAAACAATAAAGATGAAATTTAAAAAAACAAAAAAAAAACTATAAGGATTTAATTTAAAACCTGAGAAAACTATAAAGACTACCAAATTAATTTTCTCTTGATTTTATATGTAAAACCTTAATCTCCCTTTATCGGACATATATTTATTATGCTACCTCTGGTCATGAATATAAGAACTAGTTGACTAACTTGAGTAGATTAAAGAAATAAGTTAAGCTGATTATTCTTAATAAATATGGGAAAATTTTCAATTAAGGACCACAGTAGACAATTTATTTCAAACAGCCCCCAAAACATTCTGAAATGTCACTGTAGGACCAAAGGAACAAACTGAAATTAATTCAGGAAAAGAAAAGACATTTTTACTTCTAAAAACTCTGTGACCCTGAAGCACTTCCGCCTCTCTCTAGAAACATTCGATAGCTCCAGCTCCTCTCTCTCTCTCTCACTCGCTGAAAAATCTAATGTTGCGTTGAGAGAGATCATTCGCAATCACTGTCATTCCAGTAAGAAGAGCCTTCACTGTTACTACTATTCTACAATGGAGTGTCTTTGCCGTCGATGCTGTTTTGGTAACAAGAGCCTTCGCTGTTGTCATAGTCTCTCTCACTCTCTATAAGCGACCTCTTTCACTGTCTTTCCATTCAAAATTTTTTGCATATAATACTGCAAATCCTTCTCCATTTCTTCTATTGTAGATTTTATGGATTTGGTTTGGGCTGTCGTGAAGTTCTAAATCAACGAGAAATTTTTTTATTACTCAGATTTGAGATAAAATCATACAATGGGTTGATTTTAAATTCACATTGTTGAGTGTTGAAAGTAAGCCTTTCAGTTCCTATCATGAATTATATTATGAATTTGTAAATTCCACCACTTTAGAAAAATGACAATTTAGTGTTGTGAAAACTCGTATTTTTGTTGTGAATTCACAAATTCTTGTTTTAAACATATACAGTGTTTAATTATTGAAAATTGATTGAAATTAATGCTTGAATGATGTGCAACAACATATCATATATAGCTAGTAGCAGTGGAAGCAATTATTTTGCATCTTCCATGTGGGAGGTGAATATGTGAAAATCTTGGAAAGCAAAATGATAAATGAAGTACCGCACTGAAATTGGCTGGCAACTATGTAAATGCAGAACAAATTAATCTACTTGCAAATGGATGTATTTATGTTGTTAATGGGTGTATCTGAGTTGTAAATATCCTAATTCTACTTTAGAGCAGTCACTCCCAGAGTTATGAACTGTTTTGTTCAACTTTATGAATGAAATAAATCTACTTTACAAATTGTTCTGTTTAACTTTATGAATAAAATAAATCCATTTGTAAATGGACGTATTTATGTTGTTAATGAGCATATCTGTGTTGCAAATGTCCTAATCCTACTTGTGAACCATTGCTCTCAAACTTGTGAATTGTTCTGTTTAACTTTATGAATAAAATAAATCCACTTGCAAATAGACGTATTTATGTTGTTAATGGGTGTAATCGTGCCATAAATTTTCCAATTCTACTTGTGAACTATCGCTCCTAGACTTGTGAATTGTTGTGTTCATGAATTAAATAAATCCACTTATAAATAGACGTATTCTATTGTTAATGGACATATCTGTGTTGCAAATTGCCTAATTCCTCTTGTAAATAGTCCCTCATAGACTTGTGAATTATCATGTTCATTTTCTTCAATTCAACTAGTTCACTTGTAAATGGACGCGTTCTTGTCGTTAATATACGTATCTTCTTTGCAAATTTTCTAATTTCAGTTGTCAATATGACAGCCACATTTGCAAAACATGAAGTTGTTAAGCAATATATCCTTGTTGCTAATTCTCTAATTTCATTTGTCAATAGTATATCATATACTTATAAACTAGTATGGATAAGCAGAAGATTAGAATTAATTGATATGAAAAATACTCATAATATATATTCCCTGAAACTGAAATTGTAAAAATTATCTATACACAAATTTGAACACATTCTAAAGTAGCTTAAATTACATCTTGGATAGAAATATAACAATAGCTATATCATCACCTTTTTTTGTTGTGTCTTTATCCATTGAAACAGTTTCGAAACACCACCTGACTTCGTATTTGTTCTATAAGTAGTGAGCCACCACAACAACTTAGACTTTAGTATGATGTGTTGTTCTTATGGCACAAGGATAAGAACCATCAATACATTCACACAGGTGCAATAATAAAAACTCAAAATAATCAATAAACTCATAAACATTTAATTCCACTACCGCTAGCCATATATAATATGTTGCTGCACATCATTCAAGCTTTAATTTCAATCAATTTTCAATAATTAAATACAGTATATGTTTACAACAGAAATTTATGAATTCACAACAAAAATACGAGTTTTCACAACACTAAATCACCATTTTTCTGGAGAAGTGGAATTTGCAAATTCATAATACAATTCATGATCAGAACTGAAAGGCTTACTCTCAACACTCAACAGTGTGAATCTAAAATCAACCTACTGTATAATTTTATCTCAAATATGAGTAGTAAAAAAATTTCTCATTGATTTAGAACTTCACGACAGCCCAAACCAAACCCATAAAATCTACAATAGAAAAAATGGAGAAGGATTTGCAGTATTATATATAGAAATTTTTGAATGGAAAGGTAGTAAAAGAGGTCACATATAGAGAGAGAGAGACTATGATGACAACAAAAGCTCTTGTTACTAAAACAGCACGATGGTGAAGGCACTCCGTACTAGAATAGTGGTGACAGCAAAGGCTCTCTTTACCAGAATGAAAACGGTGGCGAATGATCTCTCTCAACGTAACAACAGATTTTTCAGAGAGTGAGAGGGAGAGGAGCTTGAGCTATCGAATGTTTCCAGAGAGAAGGGAAAGAGCTTCAAGGTCACAGAGTTTTTAGGGTAAAAATGTCTTTTCTTTTCCTAAATTAATTTCAGTTTGCTACTTTCGTCCTGCAATGACATTTTAGAATGTTTTGGGGGATGTTTGAAATAAATTGTCTACTGTGATCCTTAATTGAAATTTTCTCATGAATATATGTTGTCTTTTCTAAAATATTCTTGCTAATCAAGTGTATTGGCTAGAACTGTCATTATTAGAAGGACTAACTTGGAAAAGAATGTATAAATAAGAGAGACAAAGTGGATTGGGGTCTTATATTTAAGATTAAAATAAAAGTCAAATGAGGTCTTATATTAAGGATCAGAGGTAGTATTTTTCACCCAAAACTACTCCTATTTATTACACATATTAATTAATGTATGAAATCAA